ACAATTTAAACAGAAGCATAACATAATGGAATAGAAGCAGTAATTAAAAGTCCCAAACAAAAAAGCCCAGGACCAAATGGATTCTGTGCACAGTTCTGTCAGATCTTCAAAGAAGTTTTAGCAGCAACACTCCTCTAATTATTCCACAAAATAGAGAAGGATGGACACTTCCAAATTCTTTTTATGAAACTAGTATGAAACTAGTGTAATCAAACCCAAACCAGAGAAAGACCCAATAAAAAGATTGTTATAGGTCCATATCTCTGGTGAACATGGATGCAAAAATTCTCAATAAAATACTTACAAACAGAATTTAAGAAAATTCCAAAGTATTATGCATCACAATCAAGTCAGCTTCATCCCAGAGATGCAGAGATGTTTCAACATTTCAAAATTCTTCTTCTTCTTTTACAAATGTGAAAACTAATTTCTATAATACTTATATTTTGTTACAGTACTAAGAAGTGTTGAGCAGAGCAAGAACTGAATTCCAACACTGGACTTCCAAGGTAGATTTCCTCATTGGATTGATGAGAGATTATGTGAAAGATTTTCCTGTTGGAAGGGTTAAAATGAAAACTCAAGCTGAGTATCTATGATTTTTAAACCTGAATGTTTTTTGTGCTAGAGATTGGCTCCACACAAATAGTCTATTGTCCTCTCCTCTGAATAATGGACTCAACCAAAGTTCATGTTGACTCACCACAGAAAAAATGGGAAGAATAACAAGATTGTACGCCGCGGTCTGCAAAGAAAGGGTCTCCCCTCACCTGCAGAGATTGAAGTCACTACCAGAAATGTCCCCAGAGTCTTTATCTAAGGCTACAAGAGTGCTCATTTCTGAGGAAAATGATTATCACACAGAGAGGCCAAGAAGAATCTGAGCAAACAGACTTTGTTATGACCAACCCAATTTGTTACCATTAACGGCTGTCTACATTTCAATAAATCTAAGCTTAAAAACACACACTAGTACCTGGGTCTTAGGGTCTTCGTTCTGACTTCTCCCATGTCTTGTAAACATTGATTAATTAGGTGTTTTATGCTTTTCACTTGTTGATCCACTCATTACGGAAATGCTGACCATGGACCATTGAAAGGAAAAAGAAAATGTACTATATCTTTTTACCTTCCGGAACACTAAGATACAGAAGCCTCTACTAACATGAGCAAGGGATAGGTTCTTAAGCTAGGAAAGTCTTAACCTGATGGAATATTTGCTGCTCGTCTCCTAGACTAACCTGGGGAATTGATACCTATGCCTCTCAGGCTCAGTGACTCTTTGTTCTAGTTTGTCTATAATCCCTAGGGACGACACGGGCTATATACACACCTGCACTCCACCCTTTAGGTTCTGTGTTTGCTGTGAGCATGATCCCCTCTGTGTTCCTCTTGTCCCTCTGTCTGCCTTTCCTGACATTGGGACTCCTTCTCCTGTGCTTTGCTCTGCCTTTGGTGTGCTTTGTTTTTGCATGGTTGGATTCTAACTCTGCTTTTACAAAACCAGTTCCATCTCTGTGTTCCTCTTGTCCCTCTGTCTGCCTTTCCTGACACTGGGACTCCTCCTGTGCTTTGCTCTCCCTTTGGTGCACTTTGTTTTTGCATGGTTGGATTCTAACTCTGCTTTTACAAAACCAGTTCCAGGACCAGGACCTCCAAGATATAAACTGGCAGGAACCAGGAAAAAGCACTTAAAATCAAACTGGTAGAGCTGGCAAGAAATTGACAAGCTGGTGGAGAGAAAGGAAGGAACTGGGACAAAGGTGGACTCTAGGAAACAGAGTAAGATTAGATATTGTAGTATATCTCTAGAGCTTGTCCTCACATAAGAGAATGGTGTAAGATGGTCTTTTGAGAGCTTAATTCTAAGTGTTTTCTATTACCCTGCTCAAAGCACTTCTAGACTGATACAGCAAACTAATCTCTAAGACTATCTGACAGTAAACCCTTTTAAAGTAGTTATAACAGCATCTTATCTCATCAGACACATCACAGAATTGAATATTATCAGTTTTTAAGTCTTACTAATTTGATAAAAAATGTAACTCATTTGTTTTTATATAAAATTTAGTGACAAGACACTGAGAATTTTCTTTACATATTTCATGTCTAAATTATTCATATTCATTACCAAGTTTTCTTTGAATCAAAGGCCTTGCCTCTGTGGTCTATAAGAATACTCTAAATTCCAACAGAATAATTTATCTTCACCTGGAGTAACATTTAGTTACTGTATTTTTGTCATGAAATCTGTTGTCTCCCACTAAAATTACATTTTCTTTGTAACAGTTGGCCCTTCCCATTTATTTTTTCTGTTTTATTTTTTGAGTCAAATCTTCCCTGCGTGTCTAGGCTCTCCTTGAATCGGTGATCTTTCTGGTCTCCCAAACACTGGAATTGTGCCACTGCAACCAGCTGTTTCCAATTTTCTACTTCATCTAGGTTTATATTTGATAGGGTTTGTGGGATGAGGGGAAGGTAGCTTATACAGAATGCTGTAATACTTAATCAGACACTTTGTACTTTTGTCTGAACCCTTGTTGAAGTGTCTCTGTGGACAGGCTTCTCCTGTAGCTGAATCTGTCAGTAACGCTGTTGCTTAGAGTTGAGCATAGGTGAAGTTCACTGCCAAGCGTCAGCCTTGCTGTGTCTTCCTTTCTGGGAGTGAATCTCTTCTTACCTTCTTTATTCTGTGGTTGGGATAGACCTTAGATCACCTCCGCCCTTCTGCAGGAACAGTAATCCTCTATGTCCACAGTTAGCTTTAATGACAGTAAATCAGGAATAAATCAGGACAGATTTTTAAAATAGGATTTTCATTTTCTGAAAATCACTTCTGGATCTATTCTCAACTTTCAATAGCAAAAGCAAAACAGATACATTTGTGTTAGGAGACCCATACAGCGGTCTTAGCAGGAGTGGATGGTGTGTAGGATAGAGTAGTCTGAGTAGAGTTAGTGCTACTGAGACCCTCAGGGAGCACTTGAATATGATAATTGGTTAGATGAGGAAGACACTTGTTGAGGGAGGTCTGACTAAGATGTATTGAAGAGGTGTGGAAATTCATTGTGTTGAATTATCTTTGGCTAAGTCAAAAAACCCACCATAGTAGAAACAGCATTGAGGGAATAGAAAGACAAACAGAGTACTTTGGAACATTCTGGTTTTAATGGACCTGTGGCATTTGTGATGAAGATGGTGGGCATGATATCCAAGTCCAAAACTGAGGAGAAATGACTGTCTTTGAAATCATAAACTCCAGAATCTTCAACATAGCAGACCCAGTTAATGGCAAATCACTTGTGGAAAACACTCAGGTGCAGTTTTTGCAGTAGTTTATACAGAGAAAACCAGTAGGTAAAGATAGAGTATTATAGAAGTCTAACACTCAAGGGGAAAATAGAATTAAAAATTAATGTTATTGAGGTTGGAGTAAAAGAATTGTGTATCAGATCACAAAATGTAAGAGTGAGGGAGAGTTCATCTTTAATAAAGATGAAGAGGCTCTAGATAGGCTGTCTAGACTTCAGTGGATATACTTGTACCAAGGCACATGTGGGTACTAATGCTTGACTGGATAGGACTTAACATGTATGACAGTATACATGAAATCTGAAGACCTATGGGAAAATGTAGATGGGGGGGTCTAAATACTATTTCAGGGCCAGGCATGGTAGTTCATGCCTTTAATCTCAGCACTTGGGAGATAGAGGCAAGCAGATCTCTGTGAGTTTGAGGCCAGCCTGTTCTACATAGTGAGTTCCAGACCAGAAAGAACTACACAACAAGATGAGACCAACAGAAAAACAAAAACAAACAAACAAACAAAAAGTTTCAGAAGACAGACTCACTGTTTCAAAGAAGTCTCACAAGAATGGACTGTCAAACAGGTTAGACAAGGGAAAGAGTACTATTATGTAATGTTGCCAGGAGCCTGGGCCTTTGTATAGTGTTGCCAAGAGTGGGTTTTTCTTGTTGGGATTTGCCTTATTGAAAGTAAGAAGAAAGTGCTATCCTCTTTTCCTGTGATAAATCTTTTATACCAACTTATCAGACGCTGTCTGTTCTTCAATATTGCTCACACAGAGGAATGTCTAAAGAGCAGAATAAGCCCCTGATCCCTTAAGTTTTAGGGAGTAATGTCCTTTGCCTCTGTTTTATGTCAGTAATGTCCCTATAGCAAGAATGAGCATCAGGACAGGCATGGCTGGTATGGCACGGTCGATTGTAGAGGACCTGGGAAGAAAAGACACTGCATAATCTGCTTAGGTTTTGGACACTGAGCCTGCCCTTGTTAAGCCCTACCTAGTAACTGAATAATTAAATAGATCTCTACCTAATATCTGGTCTTATTTATTTTTTGTAGTGATGGAGAGTCAACATAGGGCCTCGTGCATAATAGGCAAGTCCTTTTCTTTTTTTTCGGCCTTTTTGAGACAGGGTCTCCCTGTAGCCCCAGCTGCCCTGGAACTCACTATACAGACCAGGCTGGCCTTGAACTCACAGAGATCCACCTGCTTCTGCATCTGAAGTGCTGGAATTAAAGGCATGGGCCACCAAGCTGGGCTGATAGGCAAGTCTTTTACTACTGAGCAACATCTGCAGATCAATCTTTGACTGATATTTTATGCACAAAGTTTCTTAGGAAACTTCCTTTCATTGTTGATCATGAGTCAGGATTGGATTCAATTATATAATCTATGTCTTTGGAAAATGTTTTTTTTGTTTGTTTTTGATTTTTTGATAGGGTCTCCTTAGTCACAGCCTGCCTGGAAGTCACTATGTGGACCAGGCTACTGGCCCGATCTCACAGAGATCTGCCTGCCTCTGCCTCCCAAAGGCTGGGATCAAGGGCCTGGGTCCCCATGCCTGAATGGGAAAATATTTCACTAACATGTTAAATGACTAAAACTTTGGCAAATGCTTATTAATAAAAAGAAGAAGAGATGGGTAAATTGATCATTTCTGAAAGGGCATAATATTAGGAATGTCTATGCAACAATCAGCTATGGTATTTTTATTTTCAGTTTCTGAGACTCATTGACCCTACAACCGTAATGGCCTCATTCAACTTGAGCAGCTTCAATCCCAGCCGTTTCATTCTCTTGGGAATCCCAGGACTGGAGCAGTTCCACATCTGGATTGGGATTCCCTTCTTTGTTATCTACCTTGTGGCCTTTGCAGGCAACGGTGTCCTTCTCTACCTCGTTCTCACGGAGCGCACCCTGCACGAGCCCATGTTCTTTTTCCTTTCCATGTTGGCTGCTACAGATCTCATCCTCTGCAATACATGTGTTCCCAAAACCTTCAGCATCTTCTGTCTGGGTCCTCAGGAGATCACGTTTCCTGGATGCCTTACTCAGATGTTTTTCCTTCACTTCAGCTTTGCCATGGATTCTGCAATCCTGCTGGCCATGGCATTCGATCGCTACGTTGCTATCTGCTTTCCTTTAAGATATACCACCATCCTCACGCGTCAGATTATTACTAAGATCGTGGTGACTGTTATCGGCAGGAGCTTTTGTATCATCTTCCCGTGTGTGTTCCTGTTAAAGCGATTGCCTTTCTGCCGAACGCTCAGCATCCCCCATACATACTGTGAGCACATAGGCATTGCCCGGCTGGCCTGTGCAGACATCTCCATCAACATCTGGTACGGTTTTGCGGTACCGATAATGACTGTCATGTCAGATCTGATCCTGATTGGCATCTCCTACACTCTGATCCTTCGCGCTGTCTTTAACCTTCCATCGCGGGACGCCCGCCAGAAAGCCCTTAGCACGTGTGGTTCCCATGTTTGTGTCATTCTTATGTTCTATACACCAGCTGTATTCTCTGTCCTTGCCCACCGTTTTGGTCACAATATTCCTCACTCCTTCCACATACTGTTTGCCAACTTCTATGTTGCCATCCCTCCTGCGATCAACCCCATCATCTATGGAGTCAAGACCAAGCAGATTCGAGACAAAATTAACTTCCTGTTTTTCCCCAAAGGAAACCATTGATATGACACAGGGTTTGGGAAAGAAAGCAGACAACTTTATTGATTCTGGAGTGCTTCTCATTTCTTAAATCAGGAATCCCCACAGTGTTGACACAGATTTGTTTCAAGTTGTAGAGCTCTACTGTGGTGATAGGAAGTAAGGTAAATCGATGTCTTAAAGAAGTCAAATAAGAATCAAAGAAGATATCTTTGCATGCATAGATAGACGTAGATAGATTTAGATTTCATTTGCAAATAACATTTTTAATTACTTCTTGCCCTTTGGGCTAAGATCAGGTGTAGTTTCCAAAAAAAAAATAAAAATACAAGATGCACAGGATAGTATGTTGAATACATGAAATGTGGGCAGGCTACTCATATACCAGTTAAAACAGATAAGTAAAAACCTTAGGACCTGGCATATATTTGTAGGATACTTTACGGATCGGAGTGGGAAACAGAAAATGATTACTCTTTTTAAAGAATGTTCTTGGAAAAATTAATTCTCCAAGACAGTAGTTTCTGAATTACAGCTGATATCAGAACCACCTGGTGGACTTGTTAAAATTTAAACATCTAGTTCACTTGTATTGGAATGTACCTCTGTGATCTGTAATGATTCTTTGGAGATTCTGATACCTACAAATCCTGTCTATGTTCAGATTAGAAAAGGTCCCAATCCTTCGAAAAAAGAAAAAAATAAACACACATGGAATTGGTTCTTGTGATTTTCTGAGTTCAAGGTAATTTATTTATGTTCCACATAACTGCTACTTGATTGACATTAATCCTTTATCCTAACACTGCTCATGTCTCATTAAAATATTCATTATCTCTACTTGTGATTATCTCCTCAGTCTGAGCCAACTTTTCTTCCTTGAAGATTTTTGGCTTTTGGCACAGCATTTCTACAAGAAAAAGAAAAACATACTGTTATCATTGTTGGTGATTTTGGTCCCAGCAAACAGTTAATTATAGCTGCTGTCTGTGTTTGTAGCCTAACTTTGGCATCCAGTCCAATGAAGACCTACATACCTATAGCAGTGTACTCGTTACTTTCATGTTGCTACAGTAAAATACCATGACCAAGGGAACTTATTGAAGGTAGCATTTATTTCGGTTTATGTTTCCAGATGGATAAGACTCCAAGATAGTGGGTGACAGGGAAGCATGCAGGAGCATGGTGGCAGGAGCAGAAAGCTCAGAGCTAGTATCTTCAAGAAGACACAGGAAGCAGTGAAAGGACCAGAAGTGGGACCCTGTGATGAACTCTCAGAGCCTGCCCCCAGTGATACACTTTCTGTATCAAGGCCACATCTCATAAACTTCCACACACAGCACCATCAGCTGGGGACCAAATATTCAAATGTATATTCATATAGGGAATATTTCCCATTCAAATCGACACAAGAAGTAATATGGAATGTCAAAAAGTAATCAGTTCACTAGTATATTTGACCAAGAAGTGTTAGAATATTGAAAGTACAATATTATTTTACCCTATATGAAGAGATCTAGAAATGAGATAAAAAGGAAATTAGTATTAGACTAAATACAAAAATGTCATGGCTGGCTAGCTTCAAATAGAAATGGCTCCATCCACTTCCAGCATTTCTGCACAATGGAAGACTACATACAAAACAAAGTCTCTGAGTATGGCATCATTTCTATTACAAGGTGTTAAGAATATTCTTCATTAAAAATAGAAATATTTAAATGTGCATCTTATAAATCTTTTCATCAGGAGAAAGAAGCTTCTAAGGATCTTTAAAAAAATTTGTAGCAGCATAAATCTTAGTCAAAATCAGACAGTAGGCAATCTGGAAAGTATTTGTGAATATGACTTTTGTCTAATAAACTGAATCCTAAGATAGTCACAGAGAACTCAGAGTTTCTGGTAGAAATGGTTATGAAAGTACCATCAGTTTCTACTTTAATAGGTGTAGGCTTTGCAAAAATGAATAAGATTTTTTTAAGCCTAGACTTTCTCCAACAGAGGGCAGATTGATAAAAATCTCAGAGGGAAGAACAGGTTACTTCTAAATGAAAACCCAAAATGACATTAGACTAGAGAATCAATTGCTTAGAAGTTGTAGTCCAGTCATAATCATTACCAGAGAGTGAGACTGGGTCTTTATCAACATGGTTACCATTATATTCATTTCTTCTTTTACATTCAAGTATCCATTGAAGTAGTCTATCTCAGAACCACCATAATGTGCTGGCTGTAAAAGAAATCATTTGTTTATATCACAGTTCTTCAAAATGAGAAAACATTCATGAGCTGTGGACAAGGAAGTTAAGGGGCTTTATTTAGGTTTTACATTTATTTTTTGAATGAAATAATAATTATACATATTTATCAGGTAAGTTTATTTATTTACTTATTTATTTTAACCTCTTGAACCCAATGTTATTCATATGTGCATGGATCATCCACTGGAGTATGGGCAATGGCCACCCCCACAAAGAAAAGTGACTCTCCTTCCCTTAGCAGCCAGCCATCAGATGCCAAAATCTCCTTAGCTAGGGGTGAGGCCCTGATAGTCCTTCATTCATCCATACTGAAACTATAAAAAATAATTATTTATTTATTTTTATTTTACCTGTATGAGTGTTTTGCCTGCAAGTGTGTTTGTGGAAATCAGAAACTGGCATCAGATCCCCTGGAACTGGAATTATGGACAATTGTTAGTCACCACGTGGGTGCTGGGGAGCAAACCCAGGTCCTTGCAAGAGTGGCCAGTGCTCATAACTGCTAAGCTATCTCTTGAGTCTCCATACTGGAATTTTTAATGGGCTTGATCTTTCTCAGGCTTTGCACAGACAACCAGAGTTGCTGTGAGCTCATGTATGCAGCAGCCATGTCATGACCAGAAGACATAAATATGACATTTTGATTCTTTACTGTCAGCTATATTTACCCAATGAGCAATGGAGCATCAAACCTATTCTTATCCAATCATAACATTGTATATATCCACTTCCAACCTCTCCCTCTTCCTCCTTTTCCATAATCCAGCCTCTGGAACTATTTGACCCTCACCTTCTGTGAGATATGGGCTTTTAATAAATCCCATAGTGGCAATAATAGCTTGGAGTCTTAAGGAAGCAGTTAAAGTATTTTAGCTATGGGAAAAGATATGTGTAATTATGACTAGAGGGTTAAATACTGCAGATTTTATTTTCCAAGAATGGGAAAAATATTATCTTGTATCCCATGTATGTAACTGCAGTTTTACCTGATATTCCTCCAAGATAGTCCGATTCTTCCCTTCATCTCTTGATTCACCTTATTATTTCTTGAAAAAATTGAAGTGACATTTTGGGATATTTGAGGCTGTATTTACAAAACTTTACAACTTTCTTCCTGATATATTTGAACATTTACATTTTGGGTAGTTTCTTGTACACAATCACCATGATATGAAAATCTCAAGTCATATGGAATGATTGACAGCCCTGGCTGAGCTTCAGTTTAACAATAATGCACTAATTTGGATCAAGTTTGGTTCTGATTATAACTCTACTGAAACTCTGTGGAACCAGGCTCCTGAAACCTTGCTCATATGAATTTACAGCACTGATGACAGCATGCGTAAGACCCAGGCAAACTCAATCAGACAAAACACAGCATAGAACTGGGGAAATGGGCAGAAGGCCACAACCTTGTCAAGGAATTATTGGCAGGTGCTCACTGCTGGGTGAGAGAGAGCTGATCTTTAAGGGAGTGACACCAGACAGGTTGAACAGCCTCCAGTGGTTGAACTTACACTGAGGGGCATCTGGGTACACAAACTTGACTCGATAGACCTTAAAATATATAACAAAATGCATGAAGTCCCCTGTGGGTGGGCTATGGGAGTGCAGATAGAGAAGGGGAAACTAAATATGATTTAGGTGTATGAATTCCACAAAAAATTCAATAAAAGTATCTTTTAAAAACTCAGATTCTGTCCATTAAGGGAGAAAAGCTAAGTAACAAACTCTCAACTAATCTCAAAAGGCTATATAAGA